CTTACCTAACGCGGACACCGATTGGTTCTGTGGCGAAACAGCAGGCGGTATTGCTTGATAAATATGGTTTGTTATCCATGCTTTCAGTTCTCTAACCTTAGCATATACTCCATACTTTGAAGCATACGCACATCCGTGACCCCAACTTGTCACACCCTCAAGAAACCATGTACCGTTGAACTCACACACCAATGGACCACCACTGTCGCCTTGACAAGTGTCAACTCCTCCTGCATCCAGGCCAGCACATAGCATCGAATCATCAATCTTTCCAGGGTAGGAATTCAGACAACGTTGCTTGGAGACCAGTGGTATCTCAGCTTCCATGAGTGTATTTGGCTGGAACCCACCTGACGACAGTGTACCCCAGCCTGTTATCCAGCACTTTTTGTTTAAATTGTCAAAAGGGAGAGCATGGCGCATATCAGGCAGGCAGACAAGCCCGATGCCTACTCCAAGATTTGCAGGTTGTAAGAGCTTAATCAGGGCGATGTCGTTGCTATAGCTCAACGGGACATGATAATTTTCATGACTGATGATGTGTACAACCCCGATTTCCTGTTCTGTTCCAACACTGCTGGTTGTTCTGAAGTGAGCTCCCAACCTTGAAAAATAAATGAGACAAAGTACATACAATTCAAAATTAATAGTTAGAAAAGTATAGCAACTATAATAAACGACGACAATGGCGCTAATGATGATGATAACGAAGACGACGACGACGATGATGATGATGATGACGATGACAGCAACAAGGACAAGTATGATTAAATGCAAAAGATCCTTAATAATGACTATCCTTTAATACAGGAAAAATGTGATCGTTGTTGATGATTAATTAATTAATTTAATTATTATAATTATTACAATTATGTTTTTGACGCCTGATCGCAGATTAATTAAAACAAGACATTAACGCGCCAGAATCCCACAAATTGCATGTACAGAATCAGAAACCCCAGCCTACTACTGCATTCTGTAAGGATAGGGAGACCCAATAATTAGAATCGTGAACATAGGGTCAACAAAATAATCAAGGTAAGCAGCAATTCACTCCAGAAGCTATCAGAAGAAGTGGGTACAAGCTTCCAGTGCAACGATTTCTAGGATCATTTGTGGAAAGGGAGTGGGGGAGACGACCGTTGCTTGATGACTGGCTGATGATTGCCTTGAATACCACGACCAATGGTAAATAAAGCTTGTCTACGCAAACAACCCCAGAAATCACTTTGCCCAACTTTGCCCAAAGCTTGTACCTATTCTCCACGGAGTTCCTAAAGTGGAGTATTATTTCTAGTTTTGAAATATGTCAAGCCTAACTTACTTCACTTTGATAGAAGACGGCGATTCTCCGTTGACACAATGTGCAGCGGTCACCACCCAGTAAGGGTCTACTAACGATCCGCCGCAAAACTGGATTCCAGAAGTTCGGATCAACATCACCTGCCACGGCCAGCTATTAACTCTTGTAACTGAACCACCAACAATTCGACTACTAGCGCTTGGTCGAGACCCACAAAATACTATATGAAATAGAAAAAATAATAAATAGTTGCATACATAAAGTTTACTTACGTGTCAAGAGTATTTAGCTAATGAGGCTAATTGGGGAAAATAGATATAAAAAATAAATGAATTTAGCTAGAATTGGGCCTGATACAAACTCTCTCACGTTTGTGCCCGTTACGGCCAGATTTTGGCCGTAACGCTGATCGGTTGTTAGAACAATGCCACAAGATCTGATTGGCTGTCGAAAACGCCTGAAGTTGAAAGCGCTTATTCCTCGCGTGGTTGTTTTCGTTAATGAGCCGTCGTCGGCGGAGAGAAGGATCGATTTTGCTGTCTTTTTTATTGTTTATGGTCTTATGGTAGGAAAATATGCCTTAATATGTGCCATGGAAATTCAGAAAATTCATATGGTTGTTCATATCTTCTCAGAATTAGCTTTATTTACGGAATTAATGTGAGTGTATCGCGGAGTTGAATTCCTCTGCAAGTTGTTGACCGCTAACAAGGTGCCTGTTGATTTACCAACAAACGAGTGCAAATCAAAATACTGTCCATCTAAAAACTGGTTTCATCTGAAAGTTTAGCTGGGAATGACTTCTCTGAACGGGGTACGCAACCGGAGGCTCACTGCGAAAGAAACCTCAATCGCCAACTGTGAAGTATTAGACGAAAAATATCGCATCGCTGTTCAAGGAATTTTTGTAGGCATTGTTATAAAAGCTGGTGGCTTAAGGTAACAGACTGGTTGTTTGCCTTCGCTTTTTGTAAAATATAAACCAGGAAAACTGGTGTCCTCGTTCGTTGGCTGTTTGCTTTTGTTCTTAAATATCTATGTACTGAAAAAAGGGGAAAATTGCAGAGGAAAATATTAAGGCAATAAAAAAAAATAGAAATTTCAGTATTTTAAATTCAAGCGCGCCTAGCCAAAATAATAAAACTAGTAGAACATCGTGTCGCAGTCTTTTCGAAAACTTTTTACCTTCTACGCCAACAGAAGTAACCTTCGAGATCTTCCTTAATCTCGCAAGAAGTTAAATGTGATTGTGCTCACTGTTTTATTTTTAGCTGGCGGAAAATTTTTACAGATAAAAGCTATTTTTTAAGTCAGCCAGTCTGCATTTTTCCCACGCGTGAAAACTTTGCATACTAGAAAAACAAGCAACGGGAGTAATTTTGGTTGGCTGATTCGGCAAATGTGGGCGGCAGACGTTTCGTAGAAAGTTTGTATCAGGCTCTCTTTTCGTTTCGCCTTGCTCGCCGGAATGTAACTTTCAAAGCGAAACGAAAATAGAGCCTGATCTCAGGTTAGTCCCACTGATAACCTGGTGGTACATTAACTGATATTAGTATATGCAAAAAGGCACCAGAGCAGTACCCGGCAAACAGAAAGCGTCAGTCATAGAGCTGGTTGTAGACAACTCAAAGATCGTCGCCAAGTTAAACATTTCTAACCAAAGAAAAATGCTGTGACTCTTAGCCGGCATTGGATCTGGCCAAATAAAAGTTCCGATGGCTCAAAGAAAACAGCGTTTGTTTTTTTTAAGTACATGGAATTTTTACTTACGAGAAACAATGTTTGTAAAGGTAACATTGAGGGACGCGAAAGAGGATGTCGACGAAGTCTGTATCGAGGTACAAAAAACTTCTGACAACGCAGGTGGAAAACCGCGATTTGTCACTTCACAAAACATTTAGTGCTTTGAACTACGCCCAACACTTTGGAACCACAGTGAAAGAATCTCTTAAAAGAACTAGGAATTCGAAGTGGGGTACACTCACAAGAGTCGAATTGTCCCGTATCAAATACTTTCATGGCTTTGTCAGCAGTCTAAACTGTCTCTGCCATCGGTGCAAACAGTGAGAAAAGAAGATGAAGTTTTAATGAGGGACTGGATAGAGAACTTTCGACCTGTTTGACAGCGAACTATAAGACGCGAATCAACTCAAGATAAAGCGCAGTCTTAACCACCAGGGCCGAGTTGTTCAAAGCTGGGTAAAGATAATAACGGCCAGGGTTAGTACGAGATTTGAATTCAGATTTGAAAGCTTAAAAAGCATTTCAGTTTTGATTCTTTGTGTCTACAAGTTGATGATTGGAGAAAAACAGAGAAAATTACCCGAGAAAATGCTTTTGAACGCCAGAAAAAGAAACCCGGGTTAAATTTAACCCCGGGTTAAGCGCTAATCGGCCTTCGAACAACTGGGCCCAGATTAACGGGGCTATGTCATGCTATTTGCTATCTTTTTAAAAAGCTAAAACCTTTTTTTTTTTTTTAGTACATTAATTGAATGCCAAAAATATTGGTCCAGTTTTGTTATTTAAGACGATATTTTAACATTGATATTGTTTCCCATCGTCTGTCTGTTGCAATGGATTGCAAGGATTGAAAATGGATCGAAACTTAGGCAACAACAACATACAGGATATACAGCAACCAGTTAAGTACGAGACTGATTCAGATAATGAACTGAAAGTGACGAAGAAGGTGAATTTGAAGTTGTTTGTAGCAGGACATATGCATGACCAGGTCGGGAAGATCAGTACGAGATCATGACCGGTGCGTCGTACGTTGATGGTTATACGACTCAATCTAAAATACAGCAAAAATTGGTTAATAGGAGTCTTACTAGCTATCGCTTACCCATTTTTATTACTTCGGTAAGATAATTATGTTCTTTTAATTTCTATATTTTTGGTTAATTATAATTATAAATGGTACTATAGTGGCGGAGTTTATGTGAATTCATGTAAGTTTAAACCTGAATTTAGTAGGGCCTACCCCCAAAATTGATTGACCTGCTGAAGTAAAGAAAATTCGGGTTATGACGGAATAATATGCGCTGTAGGAAAGTGAAAGTTGATAGGTAACTAGAATTAGTAGTTAACTGAGAATTGGCCAAAAAAATAGTAGTTAACTGATTTTTGGCCGAAAAATTAGTAGTTAACTGAGAACTGGGTACCCCATTAGCACCCTCTTAATTAAATAGTTAAAAAGACTATCCAAAACCGGTTGTTTCACCGGTCTTTCGAGCAAAAACTTGCTAACAATCATAATAATAATAATGATGATAATAGTAATAATAACACAAATAAAATTTCACAGAGACTTACTGTTTTGCGCGTTGCCCAGTTGAAGCAAAGCAAAAACTAAAACTGAAGCAAATAAAGAAAGAAATAGCTGTTAAACATAATCTTTTGACGCTACTTTATTTGTTGTTTATCAGTCTTTGCCACAACCCTCTATAACTTGCAAATCGTATCAATCCGAATGATTAATTTTAATGTTCATGCCGTATTTTTATCTGAATAACACGGCTCGAAAAACCAGTATTTACAGCGCTTAAAGTAATATCTGTCCAAGAAGTTACGGATATTAACTATGAAGATGATGGCAGGACTACAAATTTTTGAATAAAGGTTGAATAAAGAGAGTAGAGGTTGAAGATTTCAGGCCAGAAGGTCTTAATTTGACGTTCTGTTGTCACCAGCAGTAGATAAAGTTTCGAGTCGATCGATAGTTATTGATTAAAGAGGTAGTTTATAAAGAAAACTAAATTGCGGTGTAATAAAAATAAGTAAATTGAAAATGGTTTGAGGAATAAAGTTAATCGAATCGGCACTGATCCTTTACATGATAAAGATAGTCAATTTGTTCTATAAAAATTATAGTTTAGAAACTTTACAAATGTAGATGTAGGCAAGCTCTTAGGTCAAGGGCCATATGTCTAAGAAGGCCTTGGAGACAAAAAAGGAGACCCTTGAAATGCATTTATAATCATCCGGAGTGCGTCAAACCTGAGAATTCAGCACTTTTTAAAGATGCAACTTAAGTTGCGGAAGTTTAACTAGCCATCCGTAAGATTTCCATCTACCCAGGGGCCTATTTTAATAATTGTGATAGATTTTAATTCACATATTTGCACGCAAACGTATTGCAGCTTCGAACACAGCAAAAATTTATTGGCTTGCCGTTTTTTACTTCACTTAATATAACAGAGCTGTGTTTTTGCCTAATGGTCGTTGGTCGTGGGTCGTGGGTACAAGTCGAGGGTCGTAGGTGTGGGTGTGGGTGTGGGTAATGATTAAAAATTATTTTAAAATAATTATTAATAATTAACAATGTTACTAATTTTTGTTACAATACTACAAGTTTTTGATTTTTTTAGCTACTCGATAAGAATGAAGTGCAGCTTAAACTGAAGCTACATTAACCTACTATGGAGAATTGAATTGTGACTCAGTAAACTCCAGCTTCGTGTTTTTCTAAAGATAGCGTGAGTCTTTTGACTGGAGTGCGTAGTTCCTCCCTTGCTAATAGCTTTGAATAAGCTTAACAGTCTTTAAACTGTTTTGTTATTGCCACTTTGTGATCAGGCAAGACCATGGTTTCGGTTCTCCACACGAACCTCATCAGTCGTCGTCTCAAAGGAAATTTGCGGCCTCTTCTCGCTTGTTTTACCCTCCCCACCCTCCCCGGTTTTTATTTTATAGCCTGTAGTTTTGAATAAATTGTTTTTGCCCCAAACTCGTTGCTTTTCTTTTGTGTCTACTAATTGGGATCAATTCAAAGACAAGCATCGTATTGCTTATTCAGATAAATAATGATTGACTACTCTTACATGGAACTGATCCCGGCTTCCTAAATTTTGCGATTTGCTCTTTTTAGCATTAAGTTAACTTGTGTGCGTGTTGTTCAAGCCTTTGACCAAACCAAATTTTCTCAAAATATTATCAAGAGTTTACACAAGTCCTGGAAATAGCTCCTTTGGGTTCCTGCCTTTACCCAACTTCACCCATTTTCATACATTGTGTCATGTGTGTGTTTTTTTTTTCTGTTATTAGTTATCGAGTAGTTAAAAAAATCAAAAACTTGAAATATTGTAAATTATTAATATTTAACAAAAATTAGTAACATTGTTAATTATTAATAATAATTAAAAATTAATTTTTAATCATTACCCACACCCACGACTTTTACCCACAACCACACCCACGACCCACGACTTGTACCCATGACCCACGACCCACGACCATTAGA